CTATGGTTGTCTGTGTTGTATGGGAGTTGTGTTTGGTTCATGTGATTAATGATTAAATTTTTAACTGAGATCATCGCTAGTATATTTCGTAAGTGAACATTCATTTGGCCTGTTTTCTTCCATCATAAGCACATGAATCACGCCTCTTCTTTTTATCCCTTGTCTTTCTTTCTAACTCTATAGCATTTACAAAATGGTTGCTCCGGTGAGGAACAGATGTCGGGGACAGTACGAAAGGACGAAAGACATCCAGGTAATAAATCTTGAAAAATATTTGTGGTGTCGGGTTTTGGGAAATTCGAATATTGAATCTGGACATAGGCGTTCCAAGTCTCCACAACCTTATGAAAGTTCACTGATAATTGAAGGCCACCTCCATCACCTATTAAGAAAAAGAAAAAAAAAAAGATTTTGAGAGACTGAACCCCCTTTTAGTGCAGTACCTGAAAGCTGTTTTTATTAATATTATTTTTGCTTCTTAAACAATTTGTTTTGATTTTTTTTTTCTTTCACAAATTATTGAACTTTTGATATTCAGGCGAGCTGGGGAAACCGGATAATCCGGAAAATTTAGCAAACAATTGCATGAGTTCAAATATCACTGTTTCAACTGCTGCTTTTACTGCTACATCTGAGCAAGCTGATTCACTTAGAGAATCTTTGCATGTCCAAGATCCATTCACTGTCAAGGTTGAGCCTGCTGACAATCATGTTGAGAGTTCTCCAGCTAGTGGTATGAGTGTTTTCTCCCAGGCGCGGTCCCAAGCCGCTGGTAATATTGAACCTCATAAAAATGTTGAGTATCGAGATGACCTCGATCATGTGGTATTAAAAGAACGTTTGAGGAGGCTGCTAGCGAGGTTTGTCTCGTCGTCTCCTGCTCAATCACAGCTATTTAATTATTCTGGTCCTTTATTATTATTATTATTATTATTATTATTATTATTATTATTATTATTATTATTATTATTATTATATGTTCATGGAATAGAAACTTTGTTGTAAATAGTTATATGAAAGATGTGATTGTATTGTATGGTACTTGTGTTTCTGCAAGCTCTCTCTCTCTCTCTTTTTTTTATTGTTTTTTCATATTCTTCTTTTAGAGCAAATGGTGGATGAAAAGGTCTGGTACTTTTTTCTTCACTAACTCAGATTGTCCATAGTGTGTACTTTAACTTTTCATTAGTGAAGTTTGATATTGCTGTTGAATATGTTGTGTGCTTCCATCCTTTCTGCAGTAGATGCTCGAGATTGACGCCAACAGCGTTGGAGGTAGCTTCCTTTTCTTTCATACATATTACTGTTTTAGCATTTCACTTGCACAGTAGACTTCTTACATGTATTTAATAAAGATTATTAACTTTGAATCAGCTTCATCGTTTAATTTAGTGGTAAATTAATCTGAAAATTTTGGTTATTAAGCACTTTGTGTTAAGTTTAATTTATCTACAGGCATCCATAGTAGATACAACCTCAATTTAGAATTAAACATAGGTTTCTGGCTATTGGTCCTTTTGTACAAGCCTTGCACTGGCTAATGCACTATGCTTTGTTCTACTTTAGAAAATTGTTAATGCTCTAATTTTTTATTTTTGTATTATTGACTTTTTTACTTTCTTTCTTTATTTTTCCTTTTTTTTTTTGGCTTCTGTAGTCACTCAAAAAACCCCTATAATACCCATATTATTTGTAAATAAAATGAATTCAGTTTAGACTACTAAGAAAATAGATTTATGTTCCAGGTTTTCCGCAAAATTTCTCCACGATGATGATACATAGTATGTTGCCTAGTATTCTTTTACTCACGCAAGATATGTTTGTGTCTGGTGTGAGGTGGGTGTGGTGGGATTTGAACTTTTAAGCAAGATCTATAGAAATGACCTCCTTAATGGAGTATTATTGACTTTTCACGAATGGAGTATTTTTTATCTTTTGCTCAAGTAAAAGAAGTTAGACTTTCTCTTTCTACTTTTACGGTGGTTCTTAGGATCTGAGTATAATCTTATATATGTATGTATATGTGTGTGAATTATATTGTTCGATAGTTATATTTTAGTTTCCGTGCTTTCTGTTCCACAGGAGATCTGTGCTGGAGCATTGAGGGAAGCAAAGCAATTTGGAAATCGAAGGCGTGTGTTATCTGGGAATCAAGTTGATGACATTGATAGGCTTTTGTCATCTGTTGCATCAAAAGATACCTTGTACTCGTCTTCTAAACCTCATCAAGGAAAGAGATCCATTTATGCAGAATCTCTGGAGCTTCAAAATAATTCGGAAAAGAGAATCTTCAAATCAGATGGCAAGAAGACTCTTTTGTCTACTAATGCTAAGACTGTGGAGGTTTCACCTGTGTCGACCTTAACAAACATCAAAATTGAACCACCATTATCTGATGATTTTCTGAGTATGAATGCAAATGTAAGGGAGCAAATGTCATATGTTGACTTTCTTGTGAAAAGTGAAGTTAAAATCACAGATGATGCTTGTGAAGATGAATTGGATCATATGCTGCTGCGTGATAGGATGAAACTGTTATCAAGAGATGTCTCTAGTTCGCGTATTCACCAAGGTCCAGATTGCATGAGCAAAACTAGTTTTTCTGCCTTTGTTAGTAGGCCAGTTGCCCCTACACCTTCCCAGTCATTTAAAGTCAACCGCCCAAGAAAAAGGCGAAAAACTGTTACGTAAGTTTTTCTTTTTACGTGTTCCTGGCTGTCATTATGCTATATATTTCCATTATTATTATTTTTTTAATACTCATTGCAGGGATTCACTTGAAACTGCAATGGAGGAAGATGCTCCTGGACTTTTGAAGGTAATGGAGGCTGATAATTGTATGTTCTTATCTGGAAAATCAGAGTTTACATGTCGATATTCATTATGGGCAGGTGTTGATTGGTAAAGGTGTTACAGTTGATGAGATAAAACTTTATGGCGAACCAGAAAGTGATGATGCTTTGGAGGATTCGTCCACTGAGGAAAATTTTTCAGAGCTCGAAGAAGTTATATCCAAGGTTGTGAAAGTCAAAGAACTGTGATTTATAAAATTCTATTTCTTTTCTGTATATGCTGTATAAGTCTATCTATTGTGCATGAAACACCAGTTGGGGTGCATAGAAATAGTCTCCCATTAACTGATTCGGGTCCCGTTGAGTTAATTTTCTAATCTATTGGCACATGAAAACATAAGTGTAGCTAGATCTTGCTAGATGTGAATATTGTATAATTGATGTCATACACTGCATAGTTGCCTTTCACCATAAATATGATGAAAATTAAGGTCATGAGCTCGAACTCAGGATCTTGGAACAGTTATTGGCTAAAAAAGGTAAATACATTGTACTTGCTAAGAAAGGAATTAATAAAGATACTGATATCATGATTGATTCTGTGGTATCATGTCCGACCGAACGGCTGGGGGTAGATGAGGTTGACAGCTGTAGCAGAAACTTTTTCAACGAGTCAAGATATCGTGTATACAAATATGCCCGTGGTATATTATGACAGAAGATAATTTCTTTTGTTTATCAAAGTACCATGATAGAATTATTCACTTATTTGAATGCTCAGCATTTCTAGGAGAAACTAAACAATAGTCATTTTTCTACGATCTTGGCAAGTACCAGCATATGTTACCATTGATCTTGATTAAGTTAGTGCCATGGTGGATTGAGAGCTTGATTTGTTATGATTTCCATTTCAACACTGGAAATCAATACCACACAATAAAACGATGCTGCCTTTAAGATTCATGATAGGGCTGGAAAAAAGTCCCAATAAGTAAATGTTGGGCTGAAGGATATTGGCATGTCTGTAAAGCTCGAAGAGTTTAGTATATGTTTTTCAGATTGTGGATAAAAACGTAGTATATCTTCAATATAGGAAGCAAATATTATTTTGAAGCATCTCTAACTTGAATGCACTTATTCATTTAGGGCATGGTACTTGTGAAGCAATATATTCTGTTATATTAGTTGACTCGGATTTATTTGTTAGGAACTTACTGTGTGATAAATAGAAACGAAGATATGTACTTACAGATATGTCAATTGGATAGAGAGATAAAGGCATCACGGACATTGCAGTATATATTCTTTGCATTTACAATAAATGCTGTCATGCTATCACAAAGCCCAAACATAAAATTTTTAACTAAACCACACCGGATTATATTTTGTCAATACGGATTAGGTTGTGGGGTCTACATGAAAAATTAGTTCACAGAAAAGACAATATAAAGCATACAACTTTGTCCATATTCCATAATAACGTTTATGCATTTCTAGTTTCTCTGATGTTAGTAATCCTTTATGACTTTCTCCCATTATTCTCTGTATAAAATGTTTCTAGTGGCTCATTGTTCGAAGTCAGAGCTTATTATCGACATGTTTTTCAAAATTAGCCTGTTGCATCACCTAAAAGGACATTTTTCTCCAAGATTCTGATCTTGTTTGTGTGTCGACAGCTTTTCTCTCAGTCTCAGCGTGAATCACTGCTGAAGTTAGGTCCCACGCGAGGCACTAAGGGGGATAGAGTTAGTTATTGCCTTGAATGCCTGTTGTCACTTGTGGAGCAGGTAACTTATACCCTGTAATTTGGCCCTTTTGTGATCAGTATAAAGAACAACTTCTGCACATCCTTTTCTGACCACGAGTAATTCAATAATTTATTTTCAATTTTTGTATTATTTTTACAATTGTTTAATTTTGTACCTTTTTTTTTGGTTGTTGATAGGCAAGGTATTTACGGTTTCGGAATTGGCCAGTTGAATGGGGATGGTGCCGGGACCTCCAGTCGTTCATTTTTGTCTTCGAAAGGCATAACAGGTAAAAATAAAATTGTTGGTCCCGCTCTTGAAAATTCGGTGATCTTTTAGGTCTGTCCAAACAAATCGAATACTCACAAGTGTCACATCTGCAGATTGGTGCTTGAACGTCCTGAATACGGTTACGCGACTTACTTCTTCGAATTGGTTGAATCTTTTCCAATACAATGGCAGATTAGACGACTCGTAACCGCCATGAAGCTGACTAGCTGCAGCAGGATCAGCCTAATCGAGAACAAAGCATTAACGGTGATTCACTTCACACATAATCCATTTATTAATTGAAAATGCTCTGAGTATCTTTCCGGCTCACTATATTAATTTGCTTGTGCCAGAATTGTATCCATTAATAATTTTTCTTCCCACGTGCAAAAAATTCCAGGTGGGTGATGACATAAGCGAAGGGGAAGCTCGTGTGTTGATGGGATTCGGGTGGATACCAAACACGGGACTCGGGACAATGCTGAATTACTTTGACCGAGTGGTACACGACAGGCGGAATGAGAGGGACAGGTCTGAGTGGAGGTCAAAGATTGGTAAACTGCTTGCGGAAGGCTTAAATGGGGGCACTATAACCTCCGCTGCTGCTATCTCATCAAATGCTTCGGAATCTGATATGGCGCATCCTCTGGAGATCAAGATAGAACTTAACTGAGGTTTATAGGTTTTAGTCGGTGGAGTTGTACATTTCATTTGGTTCGGTCGAAATCGAAATGTCTTATCTCAGTTAACTGTTGGATGAATTAAGCTTAAGTTGTGAAGTATTTTTTGTATGATGTGAATAAATTATCTGCAATATGGAATGAAGGGTGGATTAATGATGCATTTTGTGGTATGTGCATCTGGTGGAGCTGATATGTTGAAGTTTGATGATTTGTTCTATTTTACTACCGAGTACCGACTGATGTGTGTACTTGTGGCTGTACAGTTTATAGGCTGTGTTGCAGCAGGCCCAAATGTAATAATGGGCTTTGGGTTGGGAAATGATGGGAGATGAGATTTTGTTTGACGATCAAAATGGACTTATTTTCGCTTGTAAGCCCATAAAATTCATGATGGGTTGGGCCTGGAGATTCTGATCCTTGATGTTTCCTTTCAAGTTTTTAGGTCAGGACCGTAGTTCTGGCCCATATCGAGGCTGGCTGATTTAGTCGATTTGTGATCTTGCAAATAGAAAGATGTTTGGTTGCAAACTGTAGTTTTCGTTATTATTATTAATTATTATTATTATTATTATTATTATTATAATATTATTATTATTATTTTTATTATTATTATTATTTTATAATATATAATAAACTAATAAGGGGCAGCTATATTTACTTAAATTATATAGTGTCATATTTTTATATATGTTGTTTTGTCTAGTAACACAACTTATAAAATTGTAATTTTATGACAATCATTCTTTCACTTGTATTTTCATTTATCTTTAATATCTTTCTAAATAAACCTATGTACAATATTTTGCAACTCGAGAAAAATAAATGACTTTAAAATCTCACATATTTAATCATGAACCTTTTTATTTGTAAATTAACCCTTATAGAAAATTCCCCTAGAATTTTGTTAAGTTGAGAATACATAACAAGAGAAATAATTTTTATTCTATCCTTTGGAAAACATATTTTAGGGAAATGCTACGGTCCCGTTACGGAACCATACCGTTGGGTTTGTAACCGTTATATCATCATGTAACCGTCGGGATAGTTGATCTAACGGTTGCAAACCACCACAAAATGGTTCTGTAACGGGAACGGTAGCATGTCCTTGTATCTTAATCCTGCATGGATAGACTAGATTCCTTAGCTTAATATTCCAAGTCTTTGCCCATTGATATTAGTAAAAACCTGCCGACTAAGATAACTTTTAATGATGGGAAAATATTAACTTTTCTAGAAAAATAATGATGATCCATTAGCATTTTCTTTACTGTGTGTTTTATATGGACAATCACACCTAATAAAGGTAGCTTTCATTCCCCTAACATTAAAACTTGAGCTTTCAACTTTAGAATCATTCTAATTTCAACTCTCAAACCAATAGGAATTGCAGATTTTGAACCCTAATACCTAAAAGAACTTTATCCTATTTTTTTTTCTTTTTGTTTTTTTTGTTTTTTATTTTTTTGTTTTAATAAACACAAAATGGGTAATGACAAATGCAAACTCTCTTCCAACTCCCAATAAAATCCAAGGAGTTTGCTATAAAGAAAAGTGCCCAAATCCTAAACCAAACTCCAAACAAAAGCAAAAGTGAAGTGTGATGTGTTAGAAAATGGTTGAAACATGTAAGCAAAGCTCACATATGTTCAAAGTGCCCCCAAAACAAAATGTCTCCACCACCCCC